AAAGGATGTTGGAAAAATCTGAGCACTGGGAAAAAAACTCTTAAACCGAAGATGTTCCATGATGTTTTATTTAAATGTAAATAATCTTTACAACCAATTAATATGCTGTTTTCAATGATAATGTATTATTCAGTGTTGTAAAGCTTAGCTTAATATCCAGACATGCTTGTAGTCCTCTCTGTTCTATGAGAGCATTAATGTTCAAGTAATAAGCCTATTACAGAATTTGTTTTCTACCTTCAGCTCCCCCCGCCAAAATCTTCCAGCAAAAATAAGAAATTTTTCATATAGAAAATTAAAGATATTTATGCATTTAAATTCTATAAATGTCAAATAGTACAGTTTTATATGCTGACAAACTTGTAAATGATGCATTTTATGATGTTATATCAATAAAAGCTGTTTAGGTTTGATAGAAAAATATGTTTTGTGTGTATATGTTTTTCAATAACTTCAATTTCTTAAACCCCAAAAAACAGGGGGAAAGTTTTTTTTTTAAGTGGATAGGACTAGAGAAAAATGGTCATTTATGTATTTATAACCTGTAGACTTCACTATTAAGTACATTACAAAACATTAATTAAAGATAGTGGATGGGTAAATGCAGAACAGGTAAATATATGAAAGTATGCCAAAAAAACCTTAAGCAGGAAACCAAAAGTTAAACCAACTTATGGCTTGGTCCAGGCCATTTTATGGATGCAAAGAGTTTCCCCATGTGTTCACGGAATCCCCTTCTTCCACCTGTAAATACTGCTAAACTCATTTCAGAACAGGGACCCAGTATACATATACTTTCTATGAATGGGGTGGCCCTTACACAGGAGACATGTATGAGTTAATGTACCAATTAATATAATCTCTATCTATCTATCTATCTATCTATCTATCTATCTATCTATCTATCTATCTATCTATCTATCTATCATGCAGTAGAGAATGTTCAAAAGTTCTGTACCTAGAAGTCAGTTCATTCATCAACAGGCTTGCTTTTGGTATTCATGCCTAAGTAACATCTTAGGATAATTGTAAAATAGATTCTTTATATTATTTTCATTTTGTGGATAGGATATTAGCTGATTTGTGCAGAATAAGTGCTAGCATAAGTTACAAGATTTTTTTTTTGTTCACTGCCTTGAGTTCATAAGTAGAGAATATATTGTCGACTCTTCCTAGCAAAGATGAATGCTCAATCATAGTAGAAGCTTCAATGCTTTGTCGGTCACTTTCAATCAAGCATTTAAAGGAAATTAGTACTATCCCTTCTTGCACAACCTATCATTAACAAAGCAAATGCTTGTACAATGTTTGTGTGCGTTTTCTGCTGGTTCTCCCTTCTTGCTGTGGTCCCTCTGTACTGCCTCCCACACTGTTCCCAAGAGTTCTATTGACCTTCTGGAGCAGTGTTTCAAGTGGCTCAGGAAGTAGAGGGGGAAGAGAGAGACCTGTTCTGTGAACTCCTTCCATTCATGGTTCAGAGGAGGTAGCTAATGATTTTTTGTTAATTGTGGTTAAGTACATGTTGCTATATTTTAAAGGCAGTATTGGGCGGCTGGATTGAATTTTCATGCAAATCTTTGACATTTTCCTTTTCAGTTCCCCAAACTGATGATTCAGCAGCAAGGATTTTGAAAACCTGAAATGTAGTTACTGAACAGCTAGTTCTGAGTCCCAGTAGCACCTTAGAAACCTTGGTCTCTAAGGGTGCTACGAGACTCAAAACTAGATGTTCCACTGCAGACCAACATGTCTACCCCATGAAACTATCTTCATAGTTGCTGAGGGGTCCACCCTCTTCTGAAAAAACCATCTCTGGATCTGGTTGAATTGGCCAACTACTGGCTGGTTTCCAATTTGCCCTATTTGGGTAAAATAATAGAGAGAGCGGTGGCGATTCAGCTGCATTTTAGATAATGCTTCCATCTTAGATCCCTTTCAGTCCGGTTTTCGCCCTGGGCACAGGACGGAGACGGCACTGGTCGCCCTCACGGATGACCTCTGGAGGCATCTGGATTGGGGCGGATGGATATTGCTGTTGTTGGACCTGTCAGCAGCGTTTGACACAGTCAAAAATCAGTTATTGATCCACCACCTTGCTGACACAGGAATTCAGGGGCTTGCCTTGCAATGGCTCGCTTCCTTTCTCCAAGGTCGTGGACAAGAGGTGGCACTAGGGGAACAGCAGTCCAGAAGGCACCCACTGGATTGTTGAGTGCCTCAAAGGGCAGTGCTTTCCCTGATGCTAATTAACATCTATATGCTCCTCCTTGCCCAGATTGCCCGGAGGAATGGGCTGGGATGTCACCAGTACGTTGACGATGTTGGGCAGCCAGTCCGACTCCATACCGGAAGATCTGGACCCGGCATTATAAGCTGTGGCTGGTTGGCTTACATTGAGCTGACTGAAACTGAATCCGACAAAGATGGAGGTCCTGTGCCTGAGCTGGGGTGGTTCGCCTGACCTTCGATGGGGCGCCTCTGGTGCCAGTGCCGGAGGTTAGGAGGTTGGGAGTGCTCTTGGATGCCTCCTTAACAATGGAGGCCCAGGTAGCAGCCAATGCCAAGTCAGCCTTGTTTGACTGATTAGGCAGTTGGTTCCCTTCCTCGACCGCAACGACTTGGCAACAGTGATCCATGTGATGGTCACTTCGAGACTAGACTACTGTAATGCTCTCTACATGGTGCTGCCCTTGTTGCAAATTCGGAAGCTGCAGCTAGTGCAAAATACTGCAGCCAGGCTTCTGATGGGGCCTCCCCATGCGGGAGCACATCCAGCCTGTGCTTGAAGACATTGCACTGGCTGGCCACAGGTACTGGCTCTTACCTTTAAAGCCATATATGGCCAGGGTCCAACATACCTGAGGGGACCGCCTTTCCCCATATATACCCCAGAGAGCACTACGGTCAGGGTCTCAAAATTGACTGGCCCTCCCAGGTGCCAAGGATGCCAGGCTGGTTACTACCAGGGCCTTCTCAGTGGTGGCTCCATACTGGTGGAATGAGCTCCCAGAAGAGATCAGGGCACTGCAGGATCTTCTACAGTTCTGCAGGGCCTGCAAGACAGAGCTCTTCCACCAGGCCATTAGCTAAGGAGCCGCCGCCACTATTACCACCAAGAATCCTAATTATAGAGCCCTGGCTCTGACATCTACAGCCTGTGCTGCCGCTTATATCAGGAAGATCATTGAGCAGAACATTTAGTTAGACCTTTGTATACACTCATACAATACGCTAGCACTTTACGACACTGAATTGTTTTATAATTGAACTGTTTTTAGATGACTTTATGTGGATCTTAATTGTTATTTATGTATCAAATTGTGTAAGCTGCCCTGAGCCTGCCTCCGCGGGAAGAGTAGGGTATAAATCAAATAAATCAAATAAATTAAATGTTATGGGTGGGGGGCTGCAAGATTGAAGTAGTATGGGTACATACGTGTTTTTTTAACTTAATTTTTACTGTGCCTTTCTCCCCAGTGGGGACCACAGTAGATAAAAGTCAATGATTAGGAAATAATTAATCATCTCTTTAAAATTTTTAAATAATTTAAAAATTTGGATAAAAAAATTAAACTGGTTTTTTTATAGGCTTTTCCTGAAAAAAGTTTTAACTAAAGATAATTTTTAATTAAGATACATCGTAGTTCAACAATCTCCCATTGTGAAATAGGGATTATTAGTTTGTTGCTGTGTAGTATTAGACAATAATGATTGAGAAGAATGTGGTAAATAGGTACTTGTAATTCATGGGTTAGGGATCCAATTTCATGTTGCCCACTGAGGCTTCTGTAAAGATTATTTATGCTGTTCTCTTCTATATACCCAACATGATGTGATATATGGTTTAGAAAATATCATCAAAGAAGTTTAGTTCTATAGTTCTCAGACTGTGTATTTATGTCTTCATGATCTGATATTGTTGAGAAGCTAATTGAAACAGTTTCAAAATAAATCTCTATGTAAAATGTAGCATGTACCTTCTAAAAATGAAACGTACATCTGTCCCTGCAAAACTAGCACAAATATGGACATAGAAAACTATGATTCTTTCTGGCTAGTGATTTAAATCAAAATGTGGCCCAAAACTGGTTTACATCATTCTCCTCTCTTCAGTCCCCGCCCCCCCACAACAGTCTTATGAATTAGGTTAAGGCTGTGTACGTGTAATTGGCCCCAACATACCTGAGTTATATGGCATGGTTCCATGGCGGAGTGGTGATTTGAACCTGGGTCTCTCAGGGTGACCTGTACACCGGTGGTAGCAGCAGCAGGCACATGCCGTGCTGGACAGATGAGATCTTCAGTTTCTGTTCTTGTGGCGGAAGACCTGTTCATTCTGTGCAGGCAGGAACGGGATAATTCCTCTTCCAGCAAGAAGGAAGAGCCAAAAAGGCTCCCACTCTCCTGGCATTTTATAAACTATGTGAAACGGAACTGTCTGGAATGGCATTTTAGTAAATGAAATAAGGGCGCATCATAAAAGACTGGTTTAGAAAAATGTATTGTGTTTCTGCTTATGTAATACCGTGTTCTGTATTAACAGGTCATATTTAATATTTATACTTTGTTCAGATGGCAGCTGTGTTTCAAATGCCTGCAATTCTAGTCCTTTGCGTTGCCTTTAGATGTCGATTGCATTGCTTTGCATGGTGTAATCTGCCTCAAGTCTCAGTGAGAAAGGCAGACTATAAATAATTTTAAAACTCATTTCTTTTTTTTCCTTTTTTTTAATTTCTCTTTATTCATTTTTCATAACAAAGCAAACAAGAACATGCAAAGAATCCAATAATAAACACTCGACATTCAAAACTCATTTCTTAAAGGAGTGCCCCTCCCCTTTCTTGTGTTGTATTTCACAGGAGAAAGTATAGATAAACTTATAACACTCACAGTTTACAAATCAAGGAACACTGTTACAAATCAAGGAACATTGTTACCTTGTTACATATTGCTGAGTATGGTGTGGTGATTACAAGAGGCAGACTCATCTGGAGAACTGGATTTGATTCCCTCCTTCTCCCCATGAAGTATGCTGGGTGACCTTGGGCCAATCACCGTTCTCTCAGAACCTTCTCAGCCCCACTTACCTCACAAGGAACCTGTTATGGGGAGAGGAAGGGAAGATGACTGTGAGTTGCTTTGAGATTCCTTAAAGTAGAGAAAAGCAGGCTATAAAAACCAACTCTCCTTCTTGAAAAAGTCTACTACTGCAGCTGTACTGGTTTATTTTACTTTAGCCTATCCTCTTGAACTGAACAGCCAAAAGGTGATTGATTCTTTTGGTTAAATATATGAGAAATATTTTTATGACCATACCTCATTATGGTTCAAAATCAGTTGCTGCAATGCGTGAAGTTGTAGGCTGTGTACTACATTCTACTTTAATGTTCATGCACAAGCTCTTACATGGTTGTATCCTAGATTGAAGTGTATCCCTTGCCCACTCAACAGCTAGAGACTCTGTGGAGGGAACTGAACACCGAAGAATTACAACTTTAGAGCTAGTTAAAGTAGTAATAATGCATCCTTATTGGGCAAAAATAGGGGGGGACAGTGACTGATTTATCGAAGACCGGTATCAGAAAATAAGGACTATTCCCGATAAATAAGGTAGATGGTTTGAAGTCCTTCCCTGGGATATACTAATGAACAACTACAGTCCTCTGCTATTTCTGCAAAGAGGAGGAAGGAAAATTCAATTCCTAGCAACTCCAGATAAAATATCAAACAGTAGGTGATGTGAAAGATCAGTACCTAAGACCGTAGAGGGCTGCTGCCAGTCTAAGGAGACAATATGGACCCTGACGGACCAAGGGTCTGAGTGAGTATAAGGCAGCTTCATATGTGTTCATGGAGTGCAGCAGTGTCTTTCTGTAATACTTAATGCTTGTTTGTGCCATTATTTTATGTTAAAATCAAGTATTTGAATTAACATGTTCATAAAGTAAGCCATATAATAATCAGCATGTTTTAAGATGTACTGCATTAATTATGCAAGAAGGTTTGTGAAAAAGCTTGCTTGTAATAATTTGGCAAAATAACAAACGTTCTCTGATGCATGTCTTCTTCCTCTGCCTCTTTCCTTTCTCGTCTTCAGGCTGTGCATCTGGCTCAGGCAAGTTTCCAGATTGAGGCCTTTGGCTCCATGTTTATTCTTGACCTCTCATTGAATAAGTAAGTGTATATTTGTGGCTTTTTAGAAAAACATAGGTAGTGTGAGGGATATTGAATGTTGATCTGTTTTTTTTTTAAAAAAAAACACTTTTTTTTAACTTTGTGTTACAGTTTGATATGCTGCAAAAAAACGATTTTATAAAGAACAGACACTGAATAGTTACAGGCAGTGCAGTTCCATGCAGTTACCTGAGTTTAAGCCCACTAAAACCAGTAGGGTTGAAACTGGAATAACTGCATAGGGGCTGCTTCCCCACAGCATGCCCGATTTCTTTTGGAACTTCCACTTAATATTGTGCTCTTCCTGGGGCTTTCTCCTTTAAGGCTTTTGCTCTGACTTAAAAGTCAGAGGCTCAGCAGCTGTAGGCAAACCCTCTCTATGAGAGTTCTGCCCGCAGTCAGTCCATGACATGAGCAGACCTTAGCACTGCCTTCAGAATGGCAGTGCTAAGCTCCAGTATTTCCCCCTCTCCTTTTAGCCCTTTAAGGGGGGGGGGGGTTCTTAACAGCTCAGCTGCAGTTCATCTGTGAGCCCTGGCTCAACTTTTGGGGGAAGGGGGATTGTCAGGCTGCAGGGGGGCCTGCCAAGGTTCTGGCTGGGTAGACACTTCAGTGCTGACATGATGAGGAAGAAAGGGGTAGGGAAGGTGGTGTGGGGACTGTGTGTGTGGATGCCTTCATCTCACTCTCTACTGTTTGCATGGGAGGGGCTGGCTTTTCCTTCCTGTGTGTGTAACCATCTTGTCAAGGTTAAGAAACCCAATTTTAGCTTCTTTATTTAAACAGGCATAGTAAAACCTCATAATTCTTGATGACGATGACTTACTTTTGTTCACTATTAACATACTTGTCATGCTTGATGTAGTTGTCAAACTATATACCATGTTCTTGGACCACTTAGTCAGAAACCCCAGTACAGGCAAATATTGTGCCCTGGTTTCCAGAATTCAGCCTATCCTATGTCCCCTGCATGCACTGAATTTATGCCATCTCCTACTGTAAAGGGTTGCAGTCTTCTCAGGTACATTGCTGTGGGTTAGTTGACTGTAAATGGGAAGATAACTTGCCACCCGGCCCCCAGTCCTATGGGTGTAATTGCTGTTCTATTCTTAGTCAGACATATAGGTCAGGGAAATATTTTTCAAGTTCCTAAGCATCCCAGAGATTTTTAGAGCTAAATGCAAAAATACTGATTACAGTTGTTGCACTGATGGGAAAGGAGGGAACAGAGGTCAAGAAAGAAGTGTGCGGCTTATAAAGAGGAGAGAGATTTTACTATGAGTTTAGGTTATACTTTTTGGATATTATTAACATTTTTTATCTAATAGCAAAGTATATATTAGATTCTAAAAGCTTTCAAAGTTTGCCTCTGTGTGAGAAAAAATGTAATAGTTGTCAGTAGCTGCGACCATAGAGCTGCAGCTCAGTGGAAGAGCCTCTGCTTGGTGTGCAGAAGGTCCCGGCATCTCCCGTTAAAAAAGACTAGGCAGAATGTGAGTGAAAGTCCTCTCCCTGAAACCCTGGAGAGCTGCTGCCAGTCTGAGTAGACAATACTGACCTTGATGGACCAATGGTCTTATTCCATGCAAAAGCAGCTTCATGTGGAAATATTTATCCACATCAGCTTTAATCTAAGAATACACTTAAAGGTCATGCATGAATAGTTGTTAGTTTAGTCTGCACATCCATGCTTTTCATGTTTCAGTTCTACAATTCAGCAGTTGCAATATTTTATTTCCCTTTCATTAGAGGGGTCTTAATGGTGATTTACTAAGAAAAATTCTGTATTCCTTTCCATCAGTTTTTGGGTGTTCAGACAGAACTGTTGACTAAGAAATGGAAGAAGTATTACTTACCACACTGTTTTAAATGGTTTTTCAAACACATATTAAGACACATTATTTTTATCTTTCAGCAAAAGTTTAAATAATGATGTTTCAACTAGGGCAGTTGATGTAGTTGTTTTGAACTATATTTAAAAATTATAAAACTACATATTTTATAGTTGATTTTGTTTTCTTACTAGGCTATGAATATTTTAAAATAGTATTATTTATAGATACTCAATTATCTTGTTTAGTGGGAACCATTCCTACTTTTCTGAGCCCAATAGTGCAATTGATAGAGATGGGAAGAAAACTGTCTTGCATCCCATTAAGTGATTCTTCTGATGAAAGGATTGCCTCCCCCTTCATCTTGCAGTACAAACGTCCCTCTGAAATACTGCTCCTGGAAGATGAGGGATCCCTTAGAGTATCATTTTGCAGGCATTTTGGGCTGCAGGGGAGAGGTGAGATTTACATTCTGTTGACAGAAATCCTTCTGTCAGTGGAAATACAACATAGAATCTTGTTGTTGTTCAGTCGCACAGTCGAGTCCGACTCTTCGCGACCCCATGGACAATCTCCCGCCAGGCTCTCCTATCTTCCGCCGTCCTCCGAAGTTGACTCAATTTCATGTTCGTTGCATCGATGACACTGTCTAACCATCTCATCCTTTGCCGTCCCCGTCTTCTTTGATGTAGTTGTCAAACTATATACCATGTTCTTGGACCACTTAGTCAGAAACCCCAGTACAGGCAAATATTGTGCCCTGGTTTCCAGAATTCAGCCTATCCTATGTCCCCTGCATGCACTGAATTTATGCCATCTCCTACTGTAAAGGTTTGCAGTCTTCTCAGGTACATAGAATCTAGTATGTGGTTAAATGATACACACACATTCCTTTGGAACTCTTTGGTTTGCTCGTGGAAGGCACTGCTCTATTTTGCACTTGTTGTGGACTTTGGCTCTGGGCGGGATGCCAGAAGACTGATGCTGGGTACCTGTGGGATATCTAGGTAAAGACTGGTTGGACATGTGCTGACTTGTGCCATTTGTGTCTGCAGAGTATGTATTTGCACCATTGGTGCTAAATTTTCTACCAGATTTCACCATCAGCACTTTAACATCTGTTTTGTGTGTACATGTTGTAGTGTGGGTCTGGATGGCAAATGACCTTTCAGTACATGTGTTGGGCCATGACCTCTGTTGCTGTACTCTGACTGGGTGTGATGCCGTCCTCTCATTCAGACTGCTTGTGAGCTTGTCTTCATTAGATGAAAGGTTTGAGTTTTTGTGATAAATCATGTTGTACTGGTGCAGAAGGCCCTTGGCTCATGAGGGAGCTGGGGGGATTTGAAGAGGACTGGGAGATGTCTACACTGTCACTGGTAGAAGACTCAAGATGAATCAGTCAGAGGATGCCATAGAGCTCATTTGCGGTTCTATAAGGTGGCACTAATGGTAGTGAAGAAAGGTTTCTTTTATGCCACCAGCTGTATCTCATTGTGCTCAGTTGCTGAATGTAATCTGTGACTTGATAATACTAAAGTCTGACCTGGTTAATAATGCCAGTTATTTGGCACCTTGTTGGAATTTTCTTTTTGCAAGATTGTTTGCTGACGGAGGCCAAGTTGAGAGTTGGTCTGAGTTCTGAAGTGTCAGAGGCATCCATTGTCCCTTTTTTGTATGGGTAGATTTAGAATTATCTTGCTGATAGATGCTGACAAAGTCCTTGAGGGTTTCAATTTGCCTTTCTTGGGGAAGGTGATAGAGCATGTGGTGGCTGATAACACACCAGCCTTTGACCCATTGCGGTCTGATTTCAGACCTGAGGTTGGGTTTGAGATAGTTTGATTGCATTGATGGGACAGGAAACAGTCATCTCTTTTGAAATGTATACATATCAGCAGCATTGGATACAGTTGGCTATGCTTACACAACTATAAGTTTATTGTCTTAGCCATAGGCCAAGGCCATAACAGAATACATCAGACTATAAAATGGTAATGTAAACAATAAAAATGTCAGTATACTCCTATACTACTTCTACTTTGCATTAAATACTAAGCTCATTCTTATTTTCCTTGCTGCTAAGGCAAATAACGCCATAGTGGTCAAGGTCCGAGAGTAAAAATTTGGCCAGATCCAGATCAGAGAGTCCATTACGCTGTGGAATAATATGGATGATGTACTTTAGCCTAGGGGACTACTTTGCATTAAATACTAAGCTCATTCTTATTTTCCTTGCTGCTAAGGCAAATAACGCCATAGTGGTCAAGGTCCGAGAGTAAAAATTTGGCCAGATCCAGATCAGAGAGTCCATTACGCTGTGGAATAATATGGATGATGTACTTTAGCCTAGGGGGTTTATGCCATGGGTATCTCAGAATATAATGTACAATATCATCCAACTTCCCCCATATCGTAAAGACAAAGTCTAAGGGGGCAGGGATACCAAAGAAACCTCCAGTCCTTATAATTGAGGGCATGGATTGAAAGCTTAAAGCTGTAAAAGCTGTTCTTAATTCCAGGCTGGTTAACTTCTCTAAATACAGGGACTTACAGTGATCCCTTTTTAAAAACTTGCATAATGGTGCCGTAAGACAGTGTGCCATCACATCCTGATCCATAAGCCCATCCTTTTTGAACACCCATTCCTTTAGTTTC